CCCCGTCCCGGTCCCAGCGGGAGCCGCCGCCGCTGCCCGCGGCGGGCCCGCATCCCGCGGGCGCAGGGCCCGCATCCCGGCGAGTGCCGGCCCCGCATCCCGGAGGGCTCGGTGCCCCGGGCCCGCGGGAGCCGCCCCGCCCGCCCGGCTCCGCGCTCCGGCAGCGCGGGGATGCGCCTTGGCCGGGAGCAGCGCGGGGGGCGGCTCGGCTATCGCCTTCGGGAGCACCGTCCCGCTCCTTGAGGAAAAACGGCTTCTACGACATGAGCGCTTTGATATTCAGCTAGGCTTTTTGGTGACACTGCACCTTTGGATTATGTTCTTCTGGCAGTCGTTCAGAAGCCCTGCAGTCAGCAGTGATGCGCAGCGTGACTCTCATATGCTCTTTAATCAGACATTTTTCTAATCTTTTTAGTGTTGTGTGTTAGTATCTCATCAGCTTCTGCCTAGAAACAGTTACTGTCCTGTGCATCTTGATGGCAAAGCCTGCAAACTGACCTGTGGAAATGGATGTTTTCACCCCTAGCAATGCTTTGTTTTCATTGCTCTGCCTTGAGCTAGTGCATAAATCTGAAAAAAAAAATGACGGACAACAGGTCTTTAAGGGCAGAAGGCATGACAGAGGTCACTGGAATTGAGCAGAGCAGTACAGCATGACAAACTCCAAACAGTACTTTCAAAAGGCTTGTACAGTCAAAGAGTGTTGGTAGGAAGGCCATGCCATCCAGATCCTTGAGCCACTTAGTGAAATACTCCAGAATTATCCCCAGTCTAGCACTCTGCAGGGAAGAAAAGGAAACAGACCTTTTGTTTTGACATGGATAAGTCACCTTATTTGTAGAGTCCTCCCACTCAGGAGTGGTGGGACAGCACAGTGACTGCATCAGGACAAACCAAACTGGACAGTCCATTCAACAGGGGCTACTTGCCTCTGTCTGAGAGTGTATTTGGGTGGGAGAGATTGATTGTGAGAGGTGAGGTGCATGGCTGTGCCCCCAAAAGAATACTAAATACATTAATGATATGGCACACTTTGGTGTTTTGTGTCTCATGCAAGAATACCTCTTTGAACTATCCCAAAGGAATGAAATTTACCATTCTGGTCAAGAGAGCCATGGTGCTGCAGAATTGTTTCCAGGCACCCAACAGACCTTCTCTGTGTAAGGAGTTATTTTAGAAATGTGGTTTTGATTTCTCCCTCTCTGTTGATGTTCTTCTTATGGAATTAAAAGGTCTTATAAAGTGTGGATCAGACTACTTGCTTGTTCTTTTTTTTCTTTTTTTTTTTTTTTTTTAATTTCCAACTTCATCTGACCTTGAATTCTCTTCACTGAGTGGTTGAATCCTTTGGTCAGAAACTGCTCCAAAAATGTGGGTGTGCTGTTGTCTGGAACTGTGTTACAGTGGAAAGCTCAAGGCCCCTTATAATTCCTGAGGAGGGCATGGCTCAGAGTTGGGCAGGGTAGGAAACCTGCTGGGCGCTCTAGAGAGACTCTGCTGGCTACCCTCTCTACTTGAATAGCATTCAGTATCTCATCCTTGATTAGGTAACATAAATAATGGATTTAAGGTCAAAGCATGCTGAGGTGAAAAGAGCAAACACAAAGTCAGACGAGTGCAGGGATGATCCTGCAGCAGGGACTCGCTGGGTGATGGAGGCCAGTGGGATTGTGTCTGTGCTTCACTCACACCACAGGCTGCTCTTGTCCTCTTTAGAGACACACATAGGCACAGGAAGAGTGAGTTTCACATCTTTGTTAACTGGTAAGCAGAGATTGTCATTCAGGGCAGCTGCTTAAAGTACCAGAGCTTCCAGTGTAGTATCAGCTCTTATCATATGGTGTTGGCATAGATATTTTGGTGGCAAGCAGGGTCAGGGATGAATTTTCAGGACATCATTGCTGCTGTGTGCCCTGGAGCAAAGGCAGCTCTCTTACTCTCTCCCACTGGGTGCCCCCAGCCCAAGCTGCCTGTGTTTTTCAGGTGGCTGTGTTGGTGTAACCTGCAACAATGGCTGGTGAAGTTATGTTAATGGTTGGATGAGCAGAGCTGCAAAGAAGTTGTCAGCATTTCTTCAGATGTTTCTGTTCTGCAGAATGGACTTATTTCCAGCTGGGGGTGGTGGAAGTGGGGCTCTCTGCTGTATGCTTCAGTGTGTCCAGTTTGCCAGTATGTTATCCCTTCAAACTTGGGTTCTTTGCCTACCAACATAAAGCTAGCACCCACTATCCCAACCACATATTGAAAGAGCTGAAAGGAACTCTTATTTTTCCAAGCTATTTTTTTTTTTGTGTTAGAAACCAGCGCTACAGATTTTTTGAGGAAGTCATGCCGCTCCTGTGAAAGCCCTACTGCTTCGATTCATCCAGATGTGTTTCTAAATTTGGTGGCTATATAGCCAGCCTTGGAGTTGGACATGGTTGTAGTTAATCCAGAATTTTGGGTTTAAGTTAAAGGACTGGCTCAAGTGCACCCACAAACTAGTTGTGAGCAGTGGGCCCAAACCACGAGGCTTTGTATTCCTGTGCCCAGTGACTCTGCAAATTCAGACTCTGCTTGAGGGCATTAGCTTTAGTTTTGGGGTGAAGCAGCTTAAATCAGTTCCACATCTCAGGCATTCTTACTGAAAACATTATGCTTTTGAGCCTTGTCCTGTTGGATATATACCTCTAGCAGGTCGGTGCTCTTGCTGTAAGTTCATTTCTGGAAGTTTTGGACTGTGCAAACAGTCACAGAAACAGCTTGGATGTCACTGATCCATTTCAGTAACTGTTGACCAACAACAGCTATATACCTACTTCTGCTGACCCATAAAAATTGGTAGGGACAATCTAGGCCATGTACTGGCTTCTGTTAAGTGTAATTTGATTTCTGTGGAAATTAAGAACAAGGGAGAATGCTCTGCCTAGAATTGGAACTCATCTGACTGCTCTGCTGAAAGTGCCATGTTTTATGTTTCAAGTCACCTTTGTGAGTTTCAGGGGTGTGAAACCAAGCCCCAACACACGCTCTTCTCAAATCAACAAAACAGATCAGACATGGTGTTTATACTGCCTCTTTTAAAATCAGAGTGGAGGTGACTTTTTTTTTTTTTTTTTCCTGTTTCCATCTATTTTTCCCTGGGTTTGAGTTGTTTCTCTTTCATGCTGTGTTTTCCTAGAGCATGCTGCTTTGCCCTCTCAGGATTTCTGTTTCCCTTTTGTATGGCTGTGTACAGTGCACTGATTTATTTACTTATCCATTCAGTCAGAGATTCATTTATTTTCATTCTTGCTGCTACCAGTGTGCTCCTCCCTTTCCATTATCCTTGAGATGAGGGGGAGCTGGCTCCAGCTAGCTTGGTCCTAACACAGGGCCTAATCCAATTTCAGTTTTAGTGAGTGAAATGTTCCTTTGAACACAGTAAACAGTTTTCACTGGAGAGCATGGCTTGGGCAAGCTGATCTCAGTAGTTGACATTGAAATGGTTCAGTTTGAGGGTTTATGAGCAATAAATTGAGTTAGGGAAGTGTCAGAGGAAACTGCATAGAACAAAAGCTGCTTGTGCTGTCCCCAGCGTTGCAAGTGGCCCTTTCTTGGTTTCCTGTGGCTGTGTGCAGCAGCTGCTCTGGGGGTGAAGCCAGGGCTGTTACAGTGCTTGGTCTTCTCCTTTGGCTGGGCTGGGTGCTTGCAAGCAAAAATGGCAAAGAGCAGATGCTGACCAAGTAATGGCTCTGCCTGGGTGTGTTAGTGCTGCGTGGGGAGGGAAATACAGCAAAAAAACAACCTGAGCGTGAGAGGGAAAATGGAACTATTTCAAAATTTCTGTGCCCATTAGTGGGCTTTTCTTGGGATTAAAAAAAAAAAGCTGCTTTAATTATATAGTTCTGTATATTGCTGTGCAGACTTGTTTTAAAGTAGATTCTTTCACCCAGTGTGCAAGGGCCAATCCATGCACAGAGCTGAGATATTTGACTTTAAGTAAGTCAAATACAGTTACAGTTCTGCACAGAAAGGCGTGCTGGGTGGCAAATCCACAAAGCCAGCACCATGACTGCCCAAACTTCTCACTAGTTATACAGTTTAGCAAACACAGGCATCAATGTTCACTGGCTACAAGTTACCTAGTTCCCTTATTAATTAGTATTCTGTCTTCTACTGGTTAATGATTCTCTTGGTTCTCATGCTAAGTCTTGCATGCTCAGTCTTTCTCTTCTTTTGGGTTGGTGATTTCTTGGGTTGGTGGCTGTGTGCCTGTGGTCAGGATCTGCCCCTGCTGGAGTTGCCTTTTACCCAGCCAGGACTGATTCAGCACAGTTACTTGAGCGGGCTTTTTCAGTTTCTTTCTTATCTGGGGGTTCTGTCACATGTCCTTGTGGCCCCTAAATTCTGCATTCTGTGTCCCCTGTCGGTGGAGATCCTTTGTTAACCTCCCAGTGGGCCAGAGATCACTGAAGCAGGTCAAGCCCCAAACCTTTCCAAGGCAATTCTACCAACAAATACTTTGTCTTTCAAACATCTGGACATCACTTAGAGCTTGTTAGCTGCTATCTGTTTCACAGATTAAATCTCCTTTCCCGTTGATTAGGCTTGAAAGTATACAAAGATCAATCAGAGAATATCCTTAGGAAAACGTTTACACGTTCTGCAATTCACAGGCAGGCTGCTGCGTGTGGTCGGTGTCCTGTAAGCGCTGGGCAGTGACCCGGTGCCCAGAAGGGGACAGCTGGTCCAGGCAGGGCGCTGTGCCCGTCGGGCAGGGATGGCAGTCCTGCAGGCGCGGCTGCGGCTCCTGCCCTGCTCCGGCTGCGCGCTTCCGAGCAGGGGCTCTCGCAGAACCGAGCCCGAGCTGTCGAGGAATTGCACCCCCGTGGCAGGGAGCCTGCACAGATACTTTATAACTGTGCTTTAAAACCCAGCACAGCAGCAGAACGGGGAATATTTCA